CATCTTTAAAGGAGATGCATGAATTATAAATTATTCAATAAAATCAGGATTGATCATTCACAATTTTTATGCCATTATGTTTTCACAGTGATTTGAACTCATTTATTTTACAGATATTTGGTCAGCTTTTATTTGAAAGTTTTTTTATTAGCTGTAAAGGTTAATCAAAATCTACTTCTCTTGTTGATCTGCTAACTGCATAAAGATGAGCCTTACTTTTAGTCATTTGATATCATGCTTGAGATGAACAAGTAATGATTGCTTTATAGAAACTTTAAATTGTCATTGTTGTAAACAAAATATCCATAATATATCTCAACATTTAAAATTTAATTAAAGCTTTATATAGTATTTTTGGTGTATTGTCTTGATTTATTATTACTCTCTTGATCAATAACTTCAATGAAACAATTGATGTTAAGAAAGTAGTCTTAGGGTCTCTTTGGGGCAGCTGTTGATTATTTATAATCTACTTATAAGTAGATTATTCTGATAATCTGTAGATTATCAAAATAAGCTGGCTTGCTGTTTGGGGCAGTTTTTTCAGAACAGCTTACTGGGAGCTGTTGTTGGATAAATGACCATTCTACCTCTGTTTGGTTAAGCTGTTTGCAACAGAACTGTTTATGAAAATTTTTGTTAATTTCAGTTTTTAATATCTTTCAAATAGTATAGTAAAAAGTTCACAGGTACCAAGAATTCCAAGTCACAAATAATTGGGTGCTATGCATGTAGATTTCTAACAGAAGTGTAAAATTCGAACTGTGTTTAGTCACGAAGTAATTGCATACGAATTCGGTGCTACCCATGAAAATTTCCAACGGTAATGAAAAACCATGTTTAACCTATGCGCTTGATATATGAGAAGGGGAAAAAGATGAGAGTTATAACAAATCCCTCTAGCAAGAGTAATGTACCAAAAAAATTCATACGATATCTGAGGGAATGAAACTCGCTAGCATTTTACAACTGTGTTGATCCACCTGCCTCATTTGTTGAGGCAGGATGGAGCAGTACGAAGATCGGGGAGGGAGAGAGTGGATTGGTACAAAAATATACATCGGTTTCGATCTCAGTATCAGATAAGTTGCAGAAGGACGAAGGAAGAACGGGAAGGGGAGGGCGAGATCGGGAGGGCGAACGAAAGGCAGAGGGGGAAATCTTACCCTAACACGATAATCAGACGCAGAACACAAGGCCCGTCCCGCTTCACCCATGAAGAGGAAATATCCCATTGACGTTTACTTACGGCACGAAAACGCGGCTCCAACGTGTTTTCCAAACACTGCGGCGGTGTTTTCAACGCCACAGGTCAGTAAGCTGCCCCAAATGGAGCCTTAAGCTAATGATGTTTAACTACTAGACTATAGATCTAGCATAGTATTCATTCACATCATATTCAACTTGTTGTAATGCTTAAGTTGTTGATGTTGGCGCTTTTCCTTTTTAACAAGTGGCAAATATTATTTTTAAAATTATGCTTTTTGATCAACCCATATTGATACTGGAGTTAACCCAAACCGCGAACGAATGATAAATTTTATTGCTGAATTTAAAAAGTTACAACGACGAATCCTCAAACATAAAACAACACAAACATGCAAACGGAAAGACAATGGTGTCGCTACAAAACAGGAAAGAATACATCGCAAAACACATAAACTGCTCTCTAGTTGAGAGCGGCAGGCCCGAAGGGGAGGAAGAAAGCTGCGACAGTGCTGAAAGGTGGATGGTAGCTGGTTGTTGTGGCGTTGGATGGCAAAGGAGTGATGGCGGCCATTTGGGAGGAGGTTGACAACGAGTGCTACGACATAGAAGGGAGTAGGAGCGGCGGCGGTGTACTGTAAAGCACTCAGAGAATACACATCCAACCATTACACACAAAAACTGACGAAAGCTAGAATCCTTATTGTAATGTTTGATTTCCCATAATTTTATACATGTCTTGGTCGTCCTATTTATAGATCACAAGGGACTCAAAATAAGAATTTTTTTTTAAAGATATAATAAAATGCAACCAACTTTAATGTATCCATTATGAATTTCAGCATCATCAATCTTCCTTGAAGATTTATCCCTTGATTTGTAAAGCCCCAATTGTTGGTTCACTATAAGACATTTTTGAAATTGGTTAGTGACATTGTCAAATAGAGAATCGACAAAACTATGAATTATTGGAACAAAGGTGGCAATCAATGGGCAATAGAGTTGGCACAATATAATTTGCTGGTGGAGGCCTCAACAAATAAAATAATTGGCATTGGAGTAGCAGGAACAAAGGTAGTGAAAAACATGAAGTAGATTTGGTGAGTATTAGGAAACAATGAAGCATAAATCAGTGATAGCAACATTGAGAAGTAGAGTCTTACAGATCTCATTGAGTGAAAATTGCTATGTTCCGTTGAAGGGAGTCTTGTAATGTGGTGCTTACATCCATGAGACTATTCTTTCTTTTTTGTTTATATAATGTTGGGCTAGATTGTGAGTTGTTGGAAGTATTTTGTACGAACTCTTGCTATTGAACTTAACTTGCCTGTTGAGTTAAATTCACATAATGGATGAAATATTAGTCATGATGCCTAGCTTAACTTGCTAACTGTAACTTGGTCACACTCGCTCATTTTTCTTGTTAAATAGGTTCCATCTTAAATTTGACTAGAATTGATATATTTCATTGGTTTTGAAAATTTTCAGCTTGTCAAGCTTTCATATATTGCATGATCCCCACTAGAGGTCTGTGAAAGGCTTTGTTGCTTGTGAGTTATTGATCTACTTTGTGCCTAAATATTTACCCGAGGCTAGTTCATACAACTCCCAACAATTTAGCTTCTATAATATTCTCTACTGGAGCTTGTTTGTCACTTGCCTTCCTTATTGAAAAATAATATATTTTATAGAAGTAGTTAGTTCTTGACTTAAATCAATCAACCAACGAACTAATTTTATGATCATGGTCAAAACAACACTTAGCTTTTAAGTGATCCTACCTTTTATTTTTGTATCTTGCACTTGGGTAGGCAACTGTCTGCTGGTTGCTCTTATGATCACCTCTCGCAGGCGCCTTGTTCATGCTTGGGTTGATCCCCCTAGAGCCACATGGCTGGTGATTTTCTTTGCTCTCTTGCGAGTGAATATGTTGTCACTCATTGCGGCTTTCATTGTGCTGGTTCTTATTAGGCTTTGTTTGGAACTACTTGCCCGCTTATGATTCTATCTCATTGCATAGTTTGTTGTCATGCGACGTAGCTTTGTTTTTGTTCGGCTGACTCTTCTCTACAATTGTTTGCATATCGGCCACCCTCTCATGGTTTCCCTTGCACCTTAGCGCTTCTCTTGTTTGGTGTTTATGCCTCTAACTGGTGCATTTGAGCTTATGACATCTTCTGCCTTGACGCCTCGAGTAGCACTCGTTACTTCCCTTGGGTTTATATAATTTATTAATATCTATGCCTTCACTGGTTGCTCTTCTGAGTCTGTTCCTTTATTGCCATTAATATTCGATGTCCATCTTATCCTTTGCAGTTCCTCTTGTTATTGAAGCTCTTATGGCTTTTTTCTTATTGTCATGGCTTCTCAAGCTTTCGCTAAAATTGTTGGGGGGTTGAGGGCTCAAGGTCTTAGTGGACTTCGTCTATCTTGTTCCATTTGTTTTCTATTCAAAAATCAGACCTACCTTTACCACTTCAAATTTTGGGGTAAACCTGCTCTTATTTTCATGAAATTCGAGATTTTCGAGTTAGCTACTTTGTTTTCTTTCTTTGTAGTGAGCAAATTCTCTATGGGATGCCTCAATGTTGAGACTGTACAAATATTAAAGCCAGATTTACATTTGACTAGAGTTTCTTCTATTCGGCTTCTTAATCATTCTACATTTAATTCTGTGTTCTATCTTTAAGAAATCCTTGCATGTAGATGTTGTAACCACTTGTCTTTCTAGGATTCATGTGTAGTGTTTAGGGATAAAATGTTTCAAATTTGTTTCCTAGGTTGGGGTAGAAATAAAAAAAAACAATTATCTTGATTCTCCAATATGCACTAGGCCATGCGTTAGGCACAACCAATGAGAGTTTTCCATGGAGCTTGTCAATAGTTTGATTGGGCACTTTTTTTTTGTTATCATATTATCTTTAATTGTGATTTTGGTTTTTATATTTTAATATGATAATTTTTTGTAGTTGTCTCATGTGTACTCATTGTGTTATATGGCTAAAAAATTTTGTTTATAAAGCTATTGGGGATTCGTTAATATAAACGCTCCGATATACCTTCAACTATCAAAGAACTCTTTGCTTTGAACTTCTCATTAAGAGCACTTTGATAGTTGAAGGTATAATTTGTTTTTCCACAAGTTTGTTTTATTCTTATAAAATACAAAAAAGAAAAAAAAAAACTGTTGATGCATGCTTCATCCGGTAATGTTCTTGCTGTTTAATTAAAAAAAAAAACAGGCGAACTATATCTTAATTTGTGTGCCAAGCATTTAACAAAACCCTCCTACTTAACGATCAAGGAAGACACTGATAAATATTCATATCCTTATGAGTAACGATGATTTTAATTTACACACTATGTGCTTCAGAACAAGACCCAAAATTTCCAAATGAAGCCTTGCTATTCATGTTAGAGGCCATTGGTAGGTTATAAGTTGCTTTTTCGTGATTGTCACATTTGATCGTTTTCATGATAACAGCCTTATCAATATCAAGTTATTTCTTGCCTTCAAAAGGTTTATCTTTAAGTGTATAATATTCTCTGAAGTCTAAACTATAATAATAAAAAAATGTAACACTTTCAAACATTGAAGAAAGGGATAATTTATCAGAGAAACTGAAACAAATGCTAGATATATAAAAAAAGAGACTTAGTGTTTCTGTATCAGGAAATCCAATTTAATATTGTCTATTCATTTTTATTGGTTGTCAGGATGATGTTCTTTTAAGTATGGATTCCATTTTATAATATGTTGTGGTTTAACATAGGTTTTATTTTGCTATTTGCAGAAAAGGTTATGTATACTTCTCCAAATTTTCATCCCAAAGTTTTCCTTACACGAGTCCACCAAGAGACTAGTGCTGCTGATTTAGAATCTGGTGCTCTTACATTGAAAAGTCATCTTAAAGGATGGACTCAACAAAAAAAGCAACTTGTTAAAGAGAACTTTGATTGCTTTGTATCGTGCAAAACGACTATCGATGGTAAGCTATGGCTGTTTCAAACGGGACTTCTGTTAATTGATATTACTGAAATGCAAATTGGTTTTATTCATATCATTCTGTTTTCTTTCAAACGAATTTGGATGTGGAGAGAGAGAGAGAGAAGTGGTTCACCATGGATGCTCACTCATAAAAAACAACTTTTTTAATCAAGTTAGCGCTTTCAGAAATAGGTTGTTAACATTTATGTATGAAATTTTACTACTACTTGGCTTTGTTTCAAGCATCAGGGGGTAAAATAAATTTTTTACACAAGAATATATGCCATTTTAGGTGGCATAAGTACACTCAGAAAGAGTTGCTTGCACGTTCCATTCATAACACGCTTAATATTTTCTAAATATATAGTGGCATGCCTAAACATGCATCGATTGGACATATGTGCATAATATACTCTATGCTTATTTGCAGAACATACAGAATTCAGGCATAAACCACATAGCTTACTTGATATGCTAATTTTATGCATAAAACTCATCTAATGTAAACAGTAAGGAATTGATAAAAACCTATATATAAGATTCATCCCTTCAATGTATTTTTTCTGTTATCTTAATGGACAGGCATGCAGTCCGTACTAACTAAATGCATATACTTACATTCTTACTTTCTATGATTTTCTTTGAAGATCAATAATTATGCCCTTACTAAGAGTCTTTATTTTTTTCTTTTTTTCCTCAAGATATTGAGTCTAAGTTAAGGCAAATTGAGGAGGATCCTGAAGGTTCTGGTACAATTCATTTGCATGAATCTACTCATAGAATCAGTGAATTGGCAAATCTTGCTTTCCAGCCTTTATTTGAGAGACAGGTAAATGGCTGAATCTTATTTGTCAGGGATTGTAACAATTTTGGCGATCAAGATTAACGAGCTTGATGTTGTGATCTGAATTAAAATAATTCAGGTGCAAGCTGAGAAAATTAGATCTGTACAAGGCATGTTGCAGAGATTCCGTACATTATTCAATCTGCCAAGCATAATTCGGGGAAGCATAAGCAAGGGTGAATATGATTTAGCTGTTCGGGAATATAGAAAAGCAAAATCAATTGTTCTTCCTTCTCATGTACGTATTCATGATTTTTGTCTTGGTTTACTTAAGATGGTTATCTATGTTTTCATATGATGCCATATGTCAATCATAATTTTATTACAGTATTTTTTTAGCATTATTTTGTTCCTCAAATGTCATGTAGGCTGGATCTAATATGCTTTATAAGTGTTGTATGATGTTTTAGAGGTGAGGTTTCTTGATGCAACTATTAGAATATGGTGTATATTGAGCATACAAAACATCTTAGCATATGCACAAAAATGCCTTCCTTAGTGCAGTTTGGTGGATATGAGCGTTTGAACCTAAATGATAATCTAATGATAAAAAAAATCAAAGAAATCAACAAGAAATTTGAACCACACAACCTCAACCAGTAGTTATAATTTATTCATCATAATTTGAATATTACTTATATCGGCTTCGAGCAAAATTATGAATAGCAAGTCTACTTTTTTAAACCGACAATTTTATTATGAATTAAAGGAAAATAATACTACATAAAGCAATTGGAAAAAAATGTTAGAAGATAGAACACACTTAAAATACTAATAAAACAATAACGCTTGGAGGGAAGAACACTGAGGGTCTTCCCTCAAAATGTCTAATTTGAATTAAGCATATTTTTTGGAGTGGCATTATACTTTTCAGCAATTTTTCCCCTTTTATGGCATCTAGATTATGGAACTTTTTGTCCATTAGTTCTTTGATGCTGTAAATGATAACATCAAAGCCAAAAACAAAGGCAGGATTTCCAATATCCTCAACAACAGAATGATCATCAGTGGCATATATCTCCGGTGGATTTGTATTAGTAGTATTGTGAGTGGGTTTGGTGCCTATCACTTCCCTTGGATCAATTTTTAGGAAATGCACTAAATCCAATATTTGAGTTAACATTGATTCGAAGTTAGATCTAAATTGCTTTAGAATCTTGGTTTTTGTTAGTTGAATGCTTCATCTTGTTTTGGATTTAAGGAGGCTTATTTAGCTTTGGGTGCACCTTGAATCATTATAAGAACTTGAGTTAAAAAATTTTGCACAAAGAACAATATGAAGGAATGTCTTCAAGTTCTATTTTCTGGAAGTGGCTACGATCAATGGAACTAATCCAAATCCCTTTCTCTAATGGTGGTAACGTTTAGTTTCACCAATACACTAGTCACAAATGGCCAGGAAAGGCCTAGTAGCGGTAACATCCACTTGTACCGTTTTATTAAAAATGAAGCTAAGAGGATTCATACTGGATTTGTTGAAATAGTGAATTTTGAGATCAGAAAAACAACCCAAATAGGGGTAATAGGAGGTTCCCCAGAACAATCAAAGTAAGGTAACCACTCTAGCATCTACATTGGAAACCGATCCAGATAGTATGCTTTCTTAGAGAAGAATTTTGAGTGATTAATTTTGAGGGACAAGAACATGGTATTAAATAAGTTCTACTAAATACTCCCCAACCAAGTTCAGCTTGACCATGATTCGACGGTCAATCTCCAAACTAGGTTTTCCCCAATAAAAGTTAGTAGCAAAGGATAAAGATAAATGTAATTGCTAACTTGAAAATCTCTTCATTTGAAATAAGAGCACCTACTTATCTTGGTAGGATGATGGTTGCTTGTGATGGTCGATGCAGGCCTTTGTTGAGACTATGCGGGAAATTGGGATGAAAAGATGGGCTGAAAACCATGACCATCATCTCCCCTAACATAACTATTGCAAAAGAAAAAGGCACAAATGACATGCAGGATTCCAAAGTTGTCAAAAGTACTTTCTGCAGGGTCTGCCATAAAAATAAACCTCATAATGCGGGAATGCCTGAGGAGCAGATGCTGAAGAATATGGCTAGGCAACTAAAGGGAGTTCCAGAGCCCAAATCAAGAATTAAATAGAGTGCATTGGATTCACAAAGTCATCTAGTCCGGTGAATTCATTTTAGGACCGCACTTCAGAAGTACGTCAAATCAAGAACAACAGTTCTGGTTTTACAGAATCATCAACTGCTGAAGATAACTTATGGAGAACTCCATGATTTCTGAGATGGACGAGGGCCGAATAAAACCAACTATAGGAACAAGTAAGTTTAATTCTTGTTTATTCATTTGAAAATAAACTATTGCAGAATATTTAACTAATTAAACAACGAACCCAATGAACGAACCATCACAACAGTAGACCAATGACTGCTACCACAGAAATTCAATAGCTAAAGTTAATTTCGGAAACTTGATAAGCTGCAAAACATCACACTGCATAAGCTCTTAAGCGACAGCCATCACAATCTGTTATCTGAAAGATTCTAAATCTATTGCTCAAGATTAAATTCAATCATACATATCCAAATTCCACGGCTTAAGGAAATTTCACATCTAGAAGATTGATAATGGCTTTTTCATTCCTATTAGACTAATGAGTAACTTTCTAACTACACTTATGCATGATTATTAAATTGTGTATATGGACACTCAATTGTTGAATTTTGTTGAGTTTATCTGACCTTGTAAGCTCCTTGCGCCCGCTGATTTATGTTTTTTGTGACAGGCTGTTAATTATTTATTAATCATATATGTATATCTTTTGCATTTATTTCAGGTGGGCATTCTAAAACGGGTCTTGGAAGAAGTGGAGAAAGTAATGCGCGAGTTTAAGTGCATGCTTTATAAGTCAATGGAAGATCCACAGCTTGATCTACCTGAGGTAAGGTAACCTTGATCCCTATAGGTGTGTTATACTCGAATAAGATATTTATGCAAAAATCTGAAAGTCTTTGTTTATTGGGAATACAAATCATATATATTGATGTTATTGTATTTCTTAATTTTTATTCCTTAGTTTATTTTAATAGCACAAACATGCTTATAATGATGATCCCATTGAGAATGGTTTGTACTGTATGTGTTTTATTATTTGTTGGGTTTGATATGCTGCAAATTTTCTAGATTCAGCTCTTTTCGGATTTCTTCTTTGCTTTTTCTGCTTTCCTACATCTGAATGTATCGGCAAGAATTTACTGCTAATCCTTGCTTTTTGAACCTTTGCTATTTCTTGATGGATTCTGCGCGTACTACATGTAGGGTTCATCTTTGAATTGGTGATATCAAGTTTTATTGTATCAAATAATACATAACTTACATGATATAAATTAAAAATTCCTGGTATGTATTAATCATATATAAAGTATAATAAAAGCTCTATAGTTTATGTTATTAAAATTATGAACGCTTCCATATCAATGATTATGATGGATCCATTAGAGAATGTGTAAGGTATAACATATGTTTATTAACGTTAAACAGTCCATTTTTCTACTCATTTGATTTTAATTAGTAAATTTTAGAATGCATTAGTGGAAATATTTATTAGATTTTCTGCCGTTGTCATCTCTCGTTTCAGTTTTACAGGGAAGGGTCTAAAGAAAGCATCATAGAAATTTACATCAGTGCAAGGTTGAATTTTATAACTACACGGAAGCATAATTAAATTTAGAAATGGAGTTAGGATTGATGTTAACTTTGAATATGATTAGTACGTTGTTATATGCTGATTTGAGTGGAGTAGTCCATACAGTTGAGTTTAGTAGTGACTCGTGCATAATATGATCATTATATAGTATTTTTATTAAATAAATTAATTGAATTGTTTATGCATAATTATCGCTGAAGAAACATCAGATAAAATGAACAGTTAGACATCTAAAGTTCAACCACAAAAATTGTGATGTAAGATGGGCATAGTTTTAATAGAAGTGAATTTCAGAATAGATTAAATTAGGCCAGAACTGCTTGAATATGATTTCTGAGGTAGTAGATGATATACATTGAACAAAATAAATAATATTTTAAAATTTGAAATCACCTGTATTCAAATGACCAAGTAGGCTAGATATTACTTAGGTTTAGTTGCTAAAAATAGGAAAAAATTTTGATGGCACGATTTGACCTGGAAATGGATGTCTTGTACTGGCATTTTTTGTGTAGAAAGAGAATTTGAGAGATGTTGCTAGCAATAACATTTTGAGAAACTTGGCATGACACCTTTATGAATATGATTGAATGAGCATGAGATGAGTTTGTGTAAGTATTCAAAGGTTGGTTTATTTCATCATCAACTAAGTTGGCACTATTAGGTCAATTCTTCAACCTAACTCAAGGATCAACAAGACTTGCATAATTTGAGTGAGAGTTCACATCACAATCAAGTTATGCTCCATATTACTTAAATACTCAGGAGCAATGTGCCATAGTTTTTTGCGAGGCCTCAAATATCCGTTTAGAATTGCTTTGACATCTTTCAGTAGAAATGAATTTTTAATCTTATAGTATAAAGAGTCAGAAAAGTTGAATATGAGTTGAATTATTTTAAGCAGAATCAGGGCAACATTTTGGCAAAAAAAGACATCAATAAATGAGTTAATTTCAAGAATTATGAGTTCCGATTTGGCAACAAGAAAAAAGTTCATATAATCTGAGAAGTCATTATGTGAGTAGAGTGGGAAGAAATATTTTTAACGTCTTATTAGCATTAGGAAGTATTTCAAATGTGAAGAAGTTGGAACCATTAGAGAGATTGTTCTTTAGAGAAGATAAATAACAGTCCACGAGGATATGTGGGATAAGCTTAACAAAGAAAGTTTTTGTACGGAAACAATAAAAAGTAAAGTCTCAATTCTATAGAAAGCCGTCAGTACGGGTGAGAAGAGAAATTTCAGCTAAGAAGAATAACCAACTAGTGAAAGCAATAGCTTTTGCTATCACACCCAATAGACTAAGGAATCAAAAGTTATATTTATGTGGGCATCTTCCACGTCTACCCTTGGCGGACTCGAGAGTGAACCGGCCTAGGGAATCGAGAGAAGTGAACCGGCTCCTTCGAGACCGGTTCAGGAATTCCAACTCCCAAGGGCTGGTAGGCCTCCTTGGGTTCCTAATTTACTTTGCTTGGGCTAATATTAGGATCATTTTTGGTTTCTTTATTATAAATATGCTGTTAAAATCTGTTTTGGAGATTATTCTCTATTTTTCTATCTATTTAGAGGGTATTAACCTTTTTCTCCTTCTAGTGGTGTGTTTATCTTGATTGAGAGCACTTGGTGGAAACTCTCAACTTTTGTATATTGCTGATCTTGTTGCTGACTTCTTATTATTTTTCCCAGGGATAGTGGTAGGCGCCCTCTTTCCCCCTTCTTGATTTAGAATAGTAGGCACCGTCTCCCCTCCTCCTTGCTATTTTCCTCAGGTGAGTCTATCTTGATTGAGAGCTGTTGGTGAAATCTTCTGAACTTTTGTGTATTGTCGATCTTGCCACTGATTTCCTTTTGTATATTGCCGGTCCCAAACCCGAATATGAAAGTGGAGGGTTGCGTTATGTAGTTGACAACCAACGTAAAATTTGTTGAAAAAAATCATGACATGAATCCTTTTGATAATTGTGTAAGTGTTAGGGCGTCCCTTGGAAGCGACGTGCTGTATGACCTGAATACAATAAAAAGTGTGCAGAGGCCGCTACATCGGCGCCCTAGTAGAGTGTCAAATAAGCAAGGGTTCCCACATTACGGACGGATGTGGGTAAAGAAGTCGATCCATGAAACTAATGAAACTAATATCAGGATAGAATCTTGGAATATAGATAGACTCAATGTTAAGTTAATGAAATTAGTTGATATTATGATTCATAGAAATATCAATATCATATGTATTCAAGAAACTAAATGAGTTGAAAAAAAGGCTAAGGAGATTAATAACTTAGGTTTTAAACTTTGGTATTCTAGTAAGAGCCACACTAGAAATGGTGTAGGTGTAATTATATATAAGAGTTTGTAAGATAATGTTGTAAAAATTATTAGAGTTTGAGATTGAATTTTAGGCTTAAGATTATTATTGATACTATGATTTTTAATATTTCATGTGCTTATGCTCCTCAAGTAGGTTTAGATATAGGGTCTAAAGATAAATTCTGGAATGACTTGGAAGACTTAATACAAATGATACCTCTTGAAGAAATAATTTATATTGGAGGAGATTTAAATGGACATTTCAGTAGAGTGGTAGAAGATTTCAGAAATATTCATGGTAGTTACGGTTTTGGAGTGAATAATGAAGAAGGTAGACCCATTTTAGATTTTACTTTAGCATATGATTTTGTTATTACTAATATTTTATTAAAGAAAGGAGAGGAGCATCTTATTACTTATAAGAATAGATTTAATAAGAGAAATTAATTATTTTCTTATGAGAAGATAAGATCGTAGGGATTCTAATGATTGTAAGTTGTAAAATATAGAATGCCAGGACTCATCATTGTAGAATTAGATGGGGGAGCTTATATGACAAATAAAATTTTTTTTATGAGTAAGATTCAAGATTTCAAAATTTGGGATGTTCATGAAGAGACAAATACTTTGTGGGATAAAATAAAAAAACACTATTAAACAAGTAACAAAAGATGTATTTGGAGAATCAAAAGAAAAAGTTTCTATGAATAAATATAGTTGTTGATGGAATAATAATGAGAAAGAAAAGATAAAATATAAGAAGTTATGTTATAAAAATTGAGTTAAATGTAAAAGCTTAGAGAACAGGGAAGAATATCAAATGACCCGTAGAGAGTCTAAAAGAACAATCTGTGATGCTAAAAATTCTGTTTTTAGTGTTCTTTATGATAAATTAGATGCTAATGAGGGTGAAAAATATATGCATAAACTAGTCAAACAAAGAGAAAAAAAATAAAGATTTAACTCAAGTAAAGTGTATTAAAGATGAAAATAAAATAGTACTTTTCTTAGAAAAAAATATTCAACATAGGTGGGTGAGTTATTTTGATAAACTTTTTAATGAAGGTTTTGAAAGTACGATCGACCTTAGTGATCGTAATATTGTTAATAATAATAAAACGTTTTATTTTTATCATCACATTAGTAAAAAAAAAGTTGAGGAGACTTTAAATAAAACCAAGGATGGAAAGTCTGTAGGACCTGATGATATCCCAATTGAAGTGTGGAAATATTTAGGAGATTTGAGAGTTTCTTGGCTTACTAAACTCTTTAATATTATTTTAAAAACTAAAAGATGCGTGAGGACTGGAGGAAGAGTATTTTGTTCCCTATTTTTAAGAATAAAGGGGATGCACAAGAGTGTGCAAATTATAGAGGAATTAATTTGATGTGTCATACTTTAAAATTAAGGGAGAGAGTAATTGAACATAGGTTAAAATGTATTACAAAAATTTCTCGCAATCAATTTGGATTTATGCGGGGCAGGTCCACTATAAAAGCTATACATTTATTAAGAGGTTTGATGGAGAAGTTCAGAGATAATACGGAGGATCTACATTTGATTTTTATTGATTTAGAAAAAGCTTATCATAAGGTTCCAGGAGATATCCTTTGGAGAGTTTATGAGAAGAAAGGTGTTGATATGACTTATATTCAAGTCATTAAAAAATGTATACTAGAGGTGTTATTTGTGTTTGAATTGAAGGAGGATTGACCAAATATTTTCCTATTTCTGTTAGATTACATCAGGGATCGACTTTAAGCCTATATCTTTTTGCCTTAGTTATGGATGGTCTTACTGGACATTTACAGGAGGATGTACCTTGGTGTATCTTTTTTGCTGATGATATCTTTCTCATGGATAAGACGAGGGAAAAAGCCCAGGAAAAACTTGAATTATGGAGGTCTACATTGGAGTCTAAAGGCC